TTTTTAAAAAAAAAAAAAAAAAAAAAGGCAGGTGCCTTTGTGCTTGCAAATTTTTGTTTGTGGTCTTTCATGTATGCAAGTTAGACTTTTAAATTGCTTTGCTTGTCATTTGACAGGTGTGTGATTCTTGCAGGCATCTCCTAATAAATGTACTTGTTTGTTTGAACCCAGGTTCAGAGGGATGGCTTCCTCATTTCAGATTACAAATATGGTACTGGTATACCAATCTCAGCAGAGGATCAGGCTTCATGGAGTTTCCTCTCCTCCTTTTTTCCCAACAAATAGCCTCAGATAGGTACTTGTAGCTCTCTGGAAGAGGTAGAGGGTGATCTTTCATCAGCAAGTAGCGGACATCATCTCGCCCACAACTTAGTTAAATAGGGTTGCTCCGCATAGGAATGGGGAGTGTTGAGTGACATGATTACAGAGTCTGCCATATGCTACTGTGCATTTCAAGATCTTTTCACAAAGATATTGTAGGTATGGTAGCTTGCCTAACTAACCATTATGGTTAGGCTGGAGCTTTCTGCAGAGGAAAACAGCTGTTGGAACTTTTACTGTCTGGTAACAACTATATTACAATCTTACTTAATAGCAGTCTCATTGCTTCAGAACTATATTGTTGAAAACTAAAGTAATAAAGACAGAACTTGGATGTGGATTTGATCTTACAACATCCTGGATACAAATTTGTCATTGAGCCTGAGTACAGTTATAACCCAGCTAAGGCTCTGTGAAATTGCTAGACAGAGTTCTGAACAGTTCTTCCAGTGTTTTGCTGTTTTAATGTCAGTTGTAGCAGGGCTTTCTGTAGTATTTATCTTTTGCTAAACAATTTCCATTAAAATAGTCCTTTAAGGCAAGTAGAATTGGCATTGGAAGACCTTGAGAGAATAGAAATTCCACAGCTGCTCTGGGGAAATGATGTACAGGATCAGAATCAGAGTTTGCTTTGGTGTTTCTGTCCTCAACAGTGAATTTTGCTGTGAATATAGAGAGAGCTCGATGTCCTATGGAGCACCATGTTTTGTTAAATCTTCCCATCAGAAATACAGAATTCATTACAGAACTGAAGACCCTTTTTCAGTGTGTATTTCTGCAAGTGAATCTTTTAAGACTTAAGTGTACAGATTTAACCATCATTTTGCTAGCCACTCTGCAGCAGGAGAGTTATTAGGTTATGCAATTTTATTATAAAAACATAAGAATTGTCATTTACTGGGTCAGACCATAGGTTCATCTTGCCTAGTATCCTGTGTCATACAGTGAACACATTTGTGAAAACTCATCAAAAACTGTTTTTACATGCTTTTAAAATCTACAAGACTTTTAGGTTGTCAATTTATTTTTATTAGGGTGATTCTGACCTTCCTGATCCAGACGTATTGGACAATCATGGTGTTGAAGTAGGTGTTTAGTAAATAAGTGCTGCTGTTTGTGATCTGTTACATGAATGGGAAAGGAGTGTTATGGTTTACAGTGTATTTTAAAATGATGTAAATAACAATCATTAAGGACTTGGTAGAACACACTTTATAATAAAATAAAATAATTAAAATTATGCCAATGTCTTGATAGCCCAGATTCTCTCAGCATTGTTAATCAAGTTGGTAGTTGAAACCAGTAATTTTGTTGGAACTACAGAGTTTGCATATGTGAGATTGGATAAATGTTGTCAGTTGAAAGGGTGATTATTTTTTTTTCTACTTGTTTGTTACCTTTAAGAATTCAAAGAATGCTCCTCTTTTAAAATGCAGCAATCTCTAAAAACCTACCTGTTACCTGAGCATTCCAGTGAAATAGCACAATTGTCCAAGACAGTTCATAACAGTCTGATATGAACAGTTATGATGCTGTCAAATTCCTCTTTACAAAGATCAGAAGTGAACTGCAGCAAGTTGGTGACCTGCACTATTTTTTAAAGGCTGTTCGAACATAGGTTATTTTGTTTTTCTTTCAGTGCATTAAGAATGTATTTGCAGCTGATTGTTGTTTATATCTATGCTTGTTAATTTTAAATTAAATAGTATTCCTGAATGCCCCTTGTTGTCTGGGGAAAATTCAGCATGTACAATTATTATTACTTTATTTATGGTAATATAGTTCCAGTTTTCTTTTAAAACTTGCTATTGGAAATTAGATTTACAATCTCAGATTAAGCCTGGGAGTGTGGCATCAGATGAAAGGTGTATAATTACATGGTTTTTACGGATATTGTAATTTGGTCTATTAAGTTAAATACAGTTAAAGCATCATGACAACATTTCAAAGTGTGTTTGTTTGTTTTCTCTCTCTCTCTCTCTCTCTCTCTCTCTTGCATTTATTTGTAAGTTTTAAAAGCAAAACAGTCATGTTTGTAATTGTGAAGTAGCATTAAACAAAATAAGCCCAAAGAATGAGGTACAGGCAGTCCTCGGATTTATGGCACAAGTGGTTCCTGAAAACTGCGTTTTAAGTCGAAACGTGGTAACTAATTTTCTCATAAGAAACAATGTTATAAATGGGGGATTGGTTTCTGAACCAAGGCCTGATACCCTATTTTCACCAAAAATACCCCAGAATTTTGTACTCGATCAATTATAGATAAGTAATATAGCTACATTAATGTATTTGTATTGTAAATAATAATCATATTGATTTGGAAGGACTTCTTTGAGGTGATTTTGCTGGACTTTTTGAAAGGCTCTTGGTTGGACTTCTTGAAGGGTTCTTGGCTAGAGTCTTTTCAGGAGTCTTGGCTGCAGGTTTTTCTGGAGTCTTGTCTGCTTTCTTAAAGTGTCCAAGGAAGTTTGGACAGATGTTCTCCAGGGAGATGAGTGACACAGCAAACTTGTTTGCTGGTGTGGCATGGCATGGCATGGCATCAGATCAAGTGTTGTAAAGTTGAAACTGATGTCATAAAGTTGAAACAGGGTGTCAGTTTATAAATGTTGTAAGTGTGAAATGTAACTCAAAACATTTTAAGTCAAGGACTGCCTGTATAAGATAATATATGCTTGACGGGATGTCTGCAGAATTTAATTTTATGATCAGATTATATCTGTAGTTGGTATATATTAAAAATGGCATGGTGTGAATCTGAACACTTTTTTTTTTTTTAATGAAGAAAGATGTAATGTATTCTATTATGGACCATGGTCAGCTTGATGTCCAACTGCATCAGGGGAAAATTTCAGAGCTGGAAAATAGACTTGTGGACAAACCAGAAGCAGCTGAAAGACTTATTACGGAGGTAGATGAGCTTCAAGAACAGCTTGCCCAGTGTAGTGGGTCTACTCATCTTCAGGTACTGTTCACAAAATTAGTTGATATTCATTTAAGGGTATTTCTTGTAGATGCTACATGCAGAGGTATGGTGAACCCCAGTAACTTCACTAAATGCCATAGTTCAGTACTGTTTCATAAAAGGTTCACTCCACCTCTGACCTCCTCTTGGTTTTTCTGGGCGGGTCCAGATCAGTGTGAACGTGCCTCTTGCAGCATCTCAGACTCCTTTGAGATGCTGCAGGATGCATGCTGGGAACAAAAAAATGTTCCCTGCTCAGCAAATTTTGCAGTGTGGACTCAAAATTTGGTACCTGGAGATCCAGGTATCAAAAAATACTCCAGGGGAAAAAAGCATGGAGGCTTGGTCCCTGAGACAACCGGAGGCATGTTCTTCCACAGAGATGCTCCAGTGGCCAGGCAGAGCATCTCTATGGCTGGCCCTTGACCCGGTGCTGAAACTTGCTGCCTGGCCATGTGTGGGGGGAACCCTGCCCAGCCCCAGCTCCCCTAGCTCCCCGATCTTCTCCCAACTCCCTTCTCCCAGCTCAGCTTCACCTGGGCATGGTAATATGCGGTTCATTCCTTGGGAATGTGTGGCCTTTGTCAAAAGTTTGCCAACCACTATGTTTACATGTGCATATAGAACTTTTCTCCAATGTGGGCCACCCTCTGCAACCCAGCCCCCTACCCTTCCCACCCGCCTTACCAGCAGGCCACAAACTCCTCCCCATTTCCCACCTCCTTCTACCAGGAGCAGCCAGCTGCTTGTGCTTACCCTAGCTGCTGATCCCAAACTGTCTGCAACAGGGGTAAGCGTAGACACGGCAGAGCAGCAGACTCTGCAGCAGTGGGGAGTGCTGCAGGGGGATTGAGTGACACAATACAGCTCCATTCCAATTCTGTTTCTTCTCCCATTCCTGGTGGAATTCTGTGGCCTAGGTCGAACTTCTTCACAGATGGATCTGGCCCACTCTCATATCCTAAAACATACAATTTTTGCAAAACCTTCATTAAAAAAAATAATTCAGGTGTCCTTTTTGTCTGCATAAGTCTGAAGCTTCACTAATGAAAATGCATGCTAACTTTCATGGAAATATATGTACTTTAAGTAAGATATCAGTGATTCATCAAGCAAAGTAACTAATAAAATAAGTACGATAATGTAGAATAGTTTAAATACTGAATCAAGTAACAGTATATTCTTTACATCATCTTAAAGTATTCATTGAAACCTTTCTAACATTAGGGTTAAATAATTTGGGTTCATCAGACTGCAGCAGTTATGGGAGCTCCTAAAGGGAGAGCTAGTTGAAACTCAGAATTTTAAGTTCACAAGAAATGCTGACATTTTAAAATCTGGATTTGTTTCCATTTTGAATGAAAACAAACATTTTTCAAAACTTCCTATAAGACAGAATTTTAAAACGTAAGAATTCAAACTAGAGGTGCACCAATATAACAGTCCATATCGGATTGGCAACGATAAAAGGAAAATTGACATTATTGGCAATTGGCTTTTTTTGGCCAGTGTAGTTGATAATGTCACTGATTAAATGCTGGGTGCGTGCATGTAGCTGCAGCATGCACATGGCCAGGAATGCAGCTGGGCAGCTTGGAGAGCAGCGTATGGCTGGTAAGTCTGTGGAGGGAAGGGTGGAGGCAAATTGAGGCCCCCACAGTGAAGGAGAAAGTGGGGTTGAGGCAGGGTTGTCCAGCCAGGGCAGTGAATCCGACCCCAGGACTGAAATAGAGCCATGGGTGGCTTGTCCAGGGGGCGGCTCCCTGCCACTGTGCACATCCGCTGTGCAGGCATGGGGGGCATGTGCCCCCCCAGATTTGTGCCCAGGGCAAGGACAGGCTGCCCACTGCGGGCTCTGAGCCTGGGGCTGTGCTGGCTTCTTCCCAGTGGAGGCTGGGCCAGGGCTGTGCTCAGGGTGGGTGGGGTTGGGTGGCAGCAGCACTGGGAAGGAGGTTATGCGGGGTATGTGGCCCCTATGCCTCTCCTGGTAGTGCACACAGTGGTGGGGAGCCATGTCCCTTCTCCCCTGTCCCCCCCTCCATCCCTTGGATGAGCTGCCCACAGCTCTGCCCTTCTTCCAGGGTCACGTTCACTGTCCTGGCTGGGCAGCGCTTGACCCTGCCCTGTTCCCTCCTTCAGTGTAGGGGCCTCCATTTGCCCCCCACCCTCCTACATCCCTTCCCTACCCTAGTCTTACTGGCTGGACACTGCTCTCCAAGCTGCCAGGCTCCGTATTGTCTGTCAGATCGGTATCGACCAATATGGCTGGTTAATAATCAGCTGTCAGTATGAGCCAAAAAAATTGTTATCGGTGCTTTCCTAATTCAATTTGTTTTGAGATTACATTTTTCCCAAACTTGTGTGCTACTACTGACATATGACATGATATATTAGGGTGGGGGTCAGCAGCCTATGGCCCCCAGGCCAGACCTGGCCTGCGGAACTGCTGGATTCCACCTGCGGAACTGGGGCTTCCATGATGGGGAGCTTGTCCCATGCTATGGCAGGGAGAAGTATCCCAGTATTGGCATATACATACATAGCCCTTTTAATTGGGATTTACTGATCAGCTGAATGCACTTCTGCTTTTTTGCCATTGATTCAATGATGCAATCCAATCCTCAGATTCACTTTGTGATGTTCCAGCATAAAATGTTAGTACTGTACTTCATATCCTGTGAACCTTTTTAGGATTTATCTTGGAACAATAGACATGGGTGTCTGAATAATTGCACTGTGTCAGGATAAAACGGTTTATCCAGGACCAACGTGATGTCTGTAGTCTGATAGACTGTTCTGTGCATGTCTTTTCTAAGCATTTGATGAAGTGAATTCAGGCTCTAAAAGCTTTATATACCTTTAATTTAGTTAGTCTATAACATGACTCTCTACCCTGCCTTCTGTTGAATGTTCAGCATTGCTGGAAGTGGTTGGCTCTACATTAACTTCATGGAACAGATACATTCTTATGCAAGGGCTCAAATGTGATAGAGCCATCTCTTTCTTTGTGACATTTTTGTTTATTGGGATTATTTTCTGTTCCTTGTTCTCTTGGAGTGAGTTTTCAACATATATTAGACCCTATGGGGAGTGGAGTATGGGGTAGTTTTGGGGAACGGGTAGGTTTAGTTCAGTTGCGTTACCCATTTTTTCCTTCATTGAAATTTGCATTTGCTAGGAACAGTGTTCCTTGGACTTCTAACAGAAATGTGACCATTCTTGTGGAGTGAGTTCCTAGATACTTTTTGTAAAACAAATGCCAATTATTTTATTTTTAATAAAAGTTGATTAGCTTACTATCAGATAGGTTTAATTACAGTATATATTAATGTTTCATGCAGGAGCTACAGACTGCTGTTCAGGAACGGAACAAAATAATAACTCAGCTAACAAGTAACCTTCAACAGGCACAGCAGAATCAGGATGACATTCAGGAAGAGACATCACTCCTAACGGATCAGATCCATAGTTTACAGCTTCAGTTGCTTGAGGTAGGTAAGCATGGGGCAAAGAAGGTTTTGAACATAAACCAGGAGTGATATTGGTAATTCTTCATCCTAGCAAATGACTCTTAACTGTAAACAGGAGTCTCATTTACTTGTTTCAGAGTTTAAATTTGATTTTTTTTTTTTTTCCAGATGTCCTAAACCAAACCTAAATTAACAGTTGATTTTTTTTTTTAATGAATTTATTGTAGTGCAGAGGAATAAGCATGCTTTAATTCTGGGGACTAAATTGAAAAGCAGAATTTCTGCATACTTTCATATGTTTGCCATTTCTGTGCTGTGTAGCACTCAGGAAACCATTTTATTATGTGCCTCTATTTCCTATTAATGAAATAGGAAGAACTTTTACCCAATATTAAGTGGCTTGAGATATACAAATGAATAGCACTTCAAAGGTTTATGACTGGGTATACTGCATATTATTATCCCCTCTCCTTTTCTCACTGTCATAACTATAAACTTGGGCCTTATATATGTACCCCTGTCCAAATTCTAGGAGACTCCCTGGCTAAACCCAGAGTTTTCATGCCATATTTCCTGTCAAGTTTATAAAGACCGTATTCTGGCAGGTATTAAACATCTAGAAAAATAGCTGCAGCAAGGGAAGAGGCAAAAGCAATGCAAGTGTGGTGGTTGTTGGAATTAGGGTTTCAGCCTGAGGGAGTATTGGAGTACGTTCCTCGCACCTAAGAAACAGAATTTTGATTTGCATGGACTTGAATTCTGGAAATTATTCTTTTTTAGAGGTGTACTGATATATCAGTGCCATGTTGGATTGGCACCAATAAAAGGAAGTTAACATTATTGGCTATTGGCTTTTTTGGCTGGTATAGCCAGTAATGTACTGATAAACACAATATGCCTTTTGGCCAGGGCCCTCAGATGATGCATGCATGTGTGCTGCTGCACATGGCCGGGAATGCAGCCTGGCAGTGTGCAGAGCAGCGCTGCCCAGCCAAGGTGGTGATTGGGACCCCAGGGCTGGGGTGGGGAGTGGAACAGAACCACAGGCAGTCTGAAGGGGGCATCGCTGCATGTGCCCCCGGGGGAAGCATGGGGGACGTGTCCCTCCAGATCTGCGTGCAGGGCAAAGGTAGAGGTGGGCTGCCCACTGTGGGCTCAGGGCTGTCTGCTGTGGCCTTGGGGCTGTCTGCCCTATTGCCTTTTGCCCTGGGAGCTGTGTACTGGCTGTGCATCCCCTGCTCACCTGGCAGCAGTGGGGACAGCCAGTTGTGCCTCCTACTGTTGGGCAGGCAGGGGATATGGCGTGGCCAGCATACAGCTCCCAGGGTAAAAGGCAGTGGGGCAGAGAGCCCTGAGACCACAGTAGGCAGCCTGCCTCTGCTCTTTCCCCTCTCAGCTCTGCTTCTGAAAGCATCCCTGTGCTTAAAAATGGTGGTGGCAGTGCTTGAGCTAAAGCTCATTTAATCAGCTTTAGTTCAAGTGCCACCACTGCCATTTTTAAGTGCTGGGACTCTGATCCCCTGGATGTGCTGCCCACAGTTCCTTCCTCCTCCCTGCCCTGGCATCCCATTTACTGCCCTGGCTGGGCAGCACCCTTAGCCCCAGCCCCAGCCTCAGCCGCAGCCCCAGCCCCTGCCCCACTCCCTTCCTCACCGTGGGGGCCTTGATTTGCACTCCCCATGCCCCTTCCCCTCCACAGACTTACCTATAGGGAGCTTCTCTGTACGCTGCTGGGCTGTGTTCTTGTAAATTGGCTATCAGATCGATATCTGCTGATATGCTTGGTGAATAATCGGCTATTGGTATTGGCCAAGAGAATCTCTATCAGTGCACCCCTAGTTCCTTTTGTTGTGTGAGCTAGTCTCTGTATTAACTACATAATAACTAATGATGGGGCTTGGTTTTGTAAGCTAGTGGTGGTGGATAACAAGCAGTCCTTTGAAATGTCTGCATTACACAAAGGTTAATAATGTGATGCAGGTTGTTTTATTTGAGGATGTTGTTAGGCTTGATAACTGGCAAACCTAATGATTCTCTTGTTTTTTGGCCTTGCCTCGCTTCTTAGCAGAAGTCTTAATAAGTGGCTTTATCAGTGACAAAAGTCCTTCTCAGTGTATGTTACTCTTCCCCCTCTGACCCTGAAAAACTTCACAATAATGTAGTTACTTTGGCCAGGTACAGACATTACACTTTTACCAGTATATGTGATTACAAAACCGTTCTATGCCCATAACAGAAGTTCAGCATGCATAGACTTGTTTAAAAATGGCAGAACCCAGTCTAAGATTTGCCCTTCCTCCTGCATCATCAAAGGGTGAATGTGTGTTCTGTTCACTACTGATCTAAACTATATAACTTACAGAAAACCACATAACTTAGATCAATTCTGCCTTGGGCTTTTTGAATGTCTGTACATAACCTTTGTGACTGTGACCGTCTTTGTTCTGCATGTACAGTACCAAGCACAAGAACTGTGTAGGTTCTTTCAGAACATTTTTTTTCAAACTTAAAAGTCAATAAGAATTTTCAGATAGCTTGATCCTACAAGGCTAAAAAGATGCAGTGTGCATGTGCATACATTATATATTTATATGCATACAAGAAGGGCATCCTATGAGTTGCCCTCATACAAATTACATTCTCAATACAAATAAATTTGTGTATGTAGGCTAATTTGCTGCTGAAAAATAAAATTCCTGGCAAAAATGAATTGGCACAAGCCCAGCAGCAGATGGCTGCGTTTCAGAACAGACTCAAAGAGCTAAGTGAACAACTGCAGATAGTTCATCAAAAAGCACATGACCTGGAAGTAAAGTTGGAGTCTTCTCAAAAGGTAAAAATATTTAAAAATGCCAGTTACAATGATTAACTCTGTGTTCTTACGTATGTATCCTTGTCATGTGACCTTACCCTGGCATGTTACTTAGCACATTACTTTTATTTTTGGAAGAGAAATTGCTAATGAACCCTTAGACTGACATTTCAATAAAATGTTGAATATACATAAATTGTTTAGGATAAAAATAAATAGATTAATAAAAATAAAAAAATAGAAATGATATTGTAATTATCCCAGAAACATGAATGATAAGCAGGAAATACCAGTTATAGTTAAAACTTAAGAAATCTAAATACCAAAGAATAATGATGCACATTTAAGACCTACAGCTAAGGTACCCAAGCAATACTGACTTTGGATAGGGATGACACCAGGGTTTTTTTTTCCTTCCAAAGGAAAGAGAAATCTGTTTTTAAACATGAATTTAACTTAATGATTATTAATCCACATTAATCATAGTACTACGGAGCTGACTGTTTTTTTTTTTACAAAAAGTAGACATTTTTTTTCTTCAGACGCACTATAAATCAGTGGTGTAGGTCCTTCCCTTCATCATGACAAGCTTTTTTGTTTATGTACACAAAAGGATCTTTCGTGTCTACACTTCAGGGTATATTTTGTTTCTTATGGAATATTACAAATAAAAAGGTATAGCAAATTTGAAATGTGTTCACGTGTAATATTTTGTTTTTAAGAATACCAAAGTTAAAGAGAATTCGCTTGCTCAGATGGAAGAGAATCTGAAAAGCACAATACAGCAACTGCACAAAAATATAGAAGAAAAAGAAGAAACTATTATAAGGCTGCAAGATACTGTGACATCAGAAAAGGCTAGTTTATCTGTGTTAAAAAATACACTTTCGTTGCGGGACACAGAAATAATAGAGTTAAAAAATGAAATGGCTTCAGCCAAGATGAAAGAAAAAGAATACGTTAAAAAACTGAAAATGGATCACAACAATGATATTTGTAGGCAGTTACAAGAATTGAGAGCAGAGCTGGAAGAGAGTCACAGAAAAGAAATTTTAAGATTAAAAGAGGTATGTGAAGAAGAAATTAATTCAAAATATGAAAATGAATTTGAGCAGATAAAAAGAGAACTCTCTGCTATGACCGCTGATGCAGATATTCAGAAGTTAAATTCTGTAATTATTGATTTAAATAATCAACTGCATGAGTCCGAAAGTCAGAGAGACAATTTGAGCAAAAAACTGAAAAATCAAATGTTGGATTTTCAGAGAGAGAGATGTGAAATTGAGCTGAAGTATAAGGATTTGATAGATGACCTCAAATTACAGCTTAGTAGTGCAGACAAACAGATTAAGGAAGCATATGAATGTAAACAAGAAAAGGAGCACTTGAATGAAGAGATCCACAAACTCAACTCCTTCATCCAGGAATTAAACGAAAAGCTGCTTTTAGAGATGGAAACCAACACAAACTTAAGGCAGAAGCATGATGAAGAAAGAACTATCTACTGTATGAAGTTAAAGAAATTGGAGCAGGAAGAAAAGTTGTTACAGGTGTCACAAGCACAGGAAGCAGAGCTTGAAAAGATGCAGAGTAAACTATGCCAACATGAAGGTGAAATACAGTTAGTTCCTGAAGAGCTAGAATTTCCACATGGCCTACAAGTAGGTGCTTTTAAAAATGAATTAGAAAACTTTAAGAAAAATCTAGAAAAGGTCAAAGCCAGAAAGGACAATGAAAGCTTTGAAGCTGATAACCTCTCTGAAGAACATATCGGAGAATTAGGATCTTTCACTGGGGATGAAGATATATTGGCTAAATATCTTGTTTCTACTGAGAGACAGGAGCATTCAGGTGTATCTAATGACTCTGAACTTTTTGAAATTGAAGAGAGTAGGTTTGAACTGGATAGCAACATCTTTTTAGAACCCAATGTGAACTCTAGAGCAGATACATTGTCATTTGGCCCTGACAAACAAATGTGTTCTTATAACTTATTACATGCGACTTCTGAGGACGCTGAGCTAGAGGCTAAGGCTTTTGCTTCATTTTTGTCAGACAGCTCTTTGCCACAAGACAAAATAGATGATGGCAATGAGGAAAAGGATGAAGAGAAAGCTCAGTTAATAGAGAGATGTGTTGAGCTAATTAAACAGCTCCGTGAAAAAGAGTTGGCATTGAACAAATCCAATCAGGAAACTCAGGAAGCCATTGAAAAATGGGAAAAAACAAAAATGGATCTTTCTTTTACACACTTAGAACTGGAGAAGGAGCGTGAAGCACGGCTTTGCTGTGAAAAAGAACTTGATCAAAAAATGAAGGAAAAAGAACTTGAAAACAAATTAAACTTTCTAGAAAAACAGAGTGAAGACAGAGATATAATAGTTCGTGTGGAAGAATTAGGGTTTGTAACACAGGCTTCGAAGTCACTTACCTGGCAGGAAATGGTAGAAGACCTCAAACAGGAAAAAGAAACATTAATAATGCAATTGAGAGCTCAGGAACAATTGGTGAAAGAAGTACAAGAACAGAAAACAGCCTCTGATTCCGTGACAAGTGAAGTACAGTCCCTTTTTGGACGGCAGCTTGCTGTTTTGCAACACCAGAGGGATCAGATGCAAACCCAACTTGATGCCCAGAAGGCCAAAAACCAGACAATTGCTGAACTGCTTGGTCAAAAAGCCATAACAGAAGAGACATTACTGAAAGAGCAGGACACTCTTAAAACTGAAATCAGTCATAAAGAACAAAGTTTAACAGATTTACTTAAGGAGAAAACTATCTTAGAAGAAAGATTGTTTGCTGCAGGACAGGAGCTAATAAACGCAGAAAAGGCTTTGGAAGAGAGTGCTAATAACCTAAAGAATCTTGAAACAAATGTATGTAAACTTAATATGAAAATTAGAAACCTTGAAAAAGCCCAAGACTGTGAAAGATTGGAGTATGAAGAGAAATTAATATCCAGTAAATTGGAAATTCAACAACTTAATGCTGAACTAGAGGTAAAAAATACAGAATACATTCAGAAAGAGAAAAACCTGACTGATGAAATGGCATATTTGAAAAATTGTCATTTGGACCAGGAAACTTGCCTGCAGGAGGCTTTGCAGAAGTCTGAACAGGCCACTCAGGAGGTGCAGTCTGAGATGAGGAAACACTATGAAGAGGAAATTAGTAAAATAGAGTCTCAGCATCTTTCTGAAACAACAAATCTGAGTCTGGCACATCAGAAAGAGGTATGTTACTGTCTGATACTGACTTAAAGGATCTGTGTTTCTAAATGCTTTGGTAGTGGTCATTTCAAAAGATTTCATACCTCTTTTCAGATAGAAAAGTTATATGCAGAAATAAGAGAGAAAGTGGAAAAGCAGCAGAAATTGGAGGAAGAACGAAAAGAGCAAATTGCATTAATTAAAAAGGTATAGCTGTAATCAAACTTATTTTAGAGCGCTGCATGTCCAGTTGTTCTTTGTCAAAACAAAAGAAATCCTGAGATGGAAAATCCATTTAAGATTTTGCAAGAACAACAGCTTTGGTTTTTGGAGAATTCTGTCTTAATAGCTTGTTAGTAGTGGAGGGGCAAAATTATTAAAAGTGTGCATCTCTGTAAAAATTCTATACTGAATTGTCTGCAGGTTCATGAACGGGAACATGATCGTGAAATTGCTGAACTCATTGCTAAACATGATAGCGAAATGAAAGCGCTACGGGCTATGTTATCTGAGGAACAGCAACAAGTATTGGATGAACTTCAGCAACAAATGGAAGCCGGACATCAAGTAGAAATTCAGCATGCTCAGCTCCAGTCACAGGTATGTTTGAAAACAGGCGTACTTTCACAAAAAACCCCACTTTTTGGAGATCTCAAACACTACATTTGAAGTATTGGTAGAGAATGCTGCATTGGAGGACCCCAGCTATAATGTTCTATGTGAGGGCTCCAGTGTCCTCAACATACTGTCCTCAGCAATCAGCGATCCTAAAGGTAATTGGTATTTCAATTTGTGAAAGGAAGCTTGCTCATTTTCGAGTAAGTATGTGCAGTATTGACTAAGAATGGAGGGAGAGGCAAAAAGTAAGAAGCTAAAATTCTTTTATAATCTGTTTCTGATGAAGGGATTTGTGTTAAAAAAATGGATGTTAGATTTGTTCAGAATTCTACTAAAGGAAGCTATCAGTTTGATTTTACATAGTCCTCATTGGTCAGAGGTCAGATATAGTGTTACTTGAATTTACACATTAAAGCCTGTGGGACTGCTTATATACTTAAAGATAAGCATGTTACATAAATTTAAGTTCCTTTTCTTCTAAATATTTAATCCATTTTTAAACACTCATTCATTCCAGAAATCTAATTGTTAGTTTTAATCTGTAGGGGCCCTTTTACATGTGCTCTGGAGGTGGAGGGTGGTGCTTTAATTAGAGTGGCTCTGAGAGCTGCTCTAATTTAAGTGCCACTGCATCTCCTGTATCAGTGTCCCTGTACTTGAAAATGGCAACAGGGGCACTTGAATTAAAGCTTGTTCAATGAGCTTTAGTTCAAGCACCCCTGCTGCCATTTTTAAGCATAGAGACACTGATACAGGAGACACAGGAATGTGGCATTTGCTGTGGTCCAGCAGACTCAATTGAGTCTGCTCAGGTGTGCTGGATTTCCAGTGCATTTGAGTGGCCTCAGTGCTCGTGTATAGATGCCTTAAATTTTGAGTTTATATTTTTTTTGTTTCTATGTTATTTAACCCAACATAAAACTTGCTGCCTGCTTCTGATAAGTGTTTCAGTACTGCACCTCTTAGCAGTATAATCTTAAATGAATGCTTTTTATTTCTGATTCTGTTTCAGCACTTCAGAAGCCAGTTACTCCTTCAGATGTGATATTCCTTCACACCTGATACTAAATATATAGCCTCTGGCAGGTGTTGAAGCATGATGTTTTTGGACACATTTGAAAGTTAATTGGAAATCTTTAGCAGTGCTTATGACAATTGTATTTTTTTGCATTGTGCTAGTATGCCATTTCTCTCCTTTCTGAGGTTACTGCATGGAAATAGATGGCTGACAATAGTTGGCTGTCAGTAGATAAGCTTTAGAAAAAAATAAGGGAAAAAAGTATTGGTAGAATATCAAATGGGCTTTGCTGCTAGAAGGAGATATGCTAAAGACTCATTAATAAAAGAGTCTGCAGGCCACACCAGAACTTGAATCCAATTTCTACTAATATTCCATACCTGTCATAAAGAAACTAGCATTCTGTATTACAAAAAAGCAATAACATTTGCAGGCATTTAATAAAATTGGAACTAGATATGGAAAAAGGGTGAATATTTCATTCCTCCGCCTCCCCCCAATCCCCACTACAGACACTGCACAGTCTTGAACTGGAAGCTTTAAGACTAAGTTTAAGCAATATGCACACATCCCAGCTGGAGCTGACTCAGTCTAACTTGAGAAAGGAGAAGGAGACTGCCCTTGTGGAACTACGGGAGATGCTCAATGATAAGCGTGCTCAGGAGATAGCGATTCTGCAGAGCCGACATCAGTTTGAATTGGAGCATATTAAAGAGCACCATCAGAAGGAAAAAGAAGAAATTGAACTGAAACATCAAGATGAACTAGGTATTAAAAGCTTGGGAATTATGAGCCTAATCTTATGACTGCTGAGTATTTAACTGTCCCATAATTAGCAATCTCGTCTGGCTTCATTGCACCTCATGTGGCAGACTGGTTTGAGGACAGAATCTGGGCAGACTGGCAGGGGAGACATCATGTACTTCATAAAAAAAAAAATGCACATAAAACGTACCTCTGAGAGTCATGTGTGCACTTTTTATTGAAGTGTTTCCACTTTCAGCATTTTTAAGGCTGCTTAGAGTTTTTTCCCAGTGTGAACAGAAGGGTAGCTGACAGCCTTTTAAAATCTTAAGGCCTCACTTAGTCCCTGATAGAACTTAAAGAGCATCATCAAAACCAAGACTAACCATTAAGATGAATGGGACAATTGATCCTTCTCTATTAATTGAATACTGTCTTGAATATTTAATTTGTCATTACTGTTCCAGTTAAACTTACAAGGTTTTCTTTGCAACTATTAACAACTAGACACTAATTCTTAAAAAAGCTGAGATTTCAGAAGACAATGGATGAGAAGCTTTGGAGCAGTGTTAATACATCATACTGTTGTATGCCTTCTGATCCTGAATTTGATGCTAAAAATAAAATGCACCCTTCCATATTTTTAGTATCACAAACTCAAACTCAGTATTTCATGTTCTTTTGATCAGTGCTTTGTATTTTGCAGTTGACCTGAGGAAGAATGTAGAGTTGGAAATGGAAGAGAAACACAATCAAACATTGGAGGTATAAGTTCCTTATTTTATACTGGAAGAGAAAAACTCTGTATAATAAACCAAAGTTGATAAAAGAGATTCTTATTTGTACTAAAAAAAATCTTTGAAAGGTGCAAATAAATGGGAAGTAAAATTAAAAAGTAGAAAAATACTGTTTATTTATTGAATGAGTGTAACCACTTTTAAAGCCTGTATGCCATTCTTGCAGACCCTTAAAGGAGACTGGGCAGTGGAGGCAGAAATGCGTTTAAAAATGGTGTGTGAAGAGCTATCTGAAAAACATCAGACTGAATTGGATGAACTGCAAAAAGCTCTGAAAGCAGAATTACATAAAGTCAAAGAAGAGCTGAAGAGTCTGTCTCTTGAAAAAGATCAGGTTGAAAGTAAGTGTGACAACAGGTTTTAACAGCACAGACTGTAGTGAGTAGTGTTTTTCTGACCTGTGGGCAGCTATTTCTCCTTGTCCTTTCCATTCCCAACTGCCAGCAACACTGTGAATGGAAGGTTCTTTGGATAAATCTGTTCTGTGCACCTCTGAGGCTGTTCATAGCATCAGTGGTCTATTACAGTTTTCTTTCTGCGGTCCCCCTGATGCTGCTCAAGGTTAATATTTACTGAGGAATTAGGAATTATGAGGGCACAAAGCTCTGTGGGAAAAAAATTCCAAATTTACAACTCCTGTCTGTCTTTACTATTTATCATATGTACTCATATAAGACAACCTAGAATATAAGATGACCCCCCCAATAATTAGATTCTATATATGGAAAATTTATAAATCTGTTTTAATTTTCCAGGTATAGAACCTAGTTATTGGAGGTTTGCCTTAAATTTGTCCCTATCCTGCTGCTACAGCAGAGAAAATAAATCTGGGAGGTCAGGTAGTCCCCTTGGCCTCTGCCGTCCCCACCAACTTCTACAGCTTCTCCCTTCTCTCTCCCTTCTCTCCCTTCTTACTCTTCGATCCTGCTCTCTCTGAGGATGTGGAATTGAGGAGCAAATTTGAAAACATTGACCTTTTGAAATAAACATACCTATAGGAACTTACATATAGGCAAATTATTACAGGTACCCGTAGACTTAGTTCATCCTGAATTGATGCAGTTTTTTTAATTGCTGCCAGTTTTTTAGCACAAGTACTCCCATAAACAATTTTAAGCACCACTTTGGCATGTACTTTATATATAGTACAAACTATGCATGATGTTAATCCAAAGCCAAAAGGCTCGTAAGTTACCATTTAGTTCATTGGACTGGGTTCCAGCAGAGTCAACAGCATTTCAAGCCATGGTAACTCCACAGCCCAGTACTTTGTGTGTGTGTGTGTGTGTGTGTGTGTGTGTGTGTGCGTGCTCTAGATTACTTGCCCCCTCCCTACACGCACATATAGGATTTGTGTGCTAATTAGCCCCCCACTCATGACTGGAACTGGGTATTCTTATTACTAGTCCTGGGATCCTCCAAAAATGTATATGCAGATGGGACTCAAGGCAACCTGGTCTGGCTTAACTTCATGAAGGGCAGGACCACGCTAATCATACTAAACAGGCTGAGAGGGGGCAACAGAGGGATTCTGGGTGCACTGTTTGGGGCCCCATTTGTTGATGTTCGTTAGACATTTAAGGCTGGTGAAGAAATGGGAAAGAAAGGTGCAGCTCAGCTGTGGGAGTGAAGAGGAAGTAAAAAATGTATGTAGTGGAGTGGCTCACTATGACTTGAAAAAGAGTCGGTACTAAGAGGGCCTGGTGCAGTGGGCACTATTATGTATCTTCAGATGGACTGCACTAACCTATTCTTGTGTGAAGTTTCCATTGGTATGTTTGCCCAGTATGGACCATGTATTTTATAGTCGTGCTCAGTCTTGGCTGCATTTAATCAGCTTTATAGTTGGTTTCCATTACTAAGCCCATGCTGCTTTTGGCAGCAGTTTAATGATAGACAGTGTATTTAATGACGTTTCCTTGTATGAAAATATAAAACCAAGGGGCTTTTTCCCTGTGGTGATGGGGGGGGAACCTCATTGTATGTTTGAGTAAATATGGTAAGTTTTTATATGGTGCCCATCAGGTAACTGGGGGTTGTTTTTGAGCTAGCTAGTTGGTGATGCTTTTACAAGGTTAAACTGGCCCCTGCTGTTTCCAACACAGAGAGGGAGCAATTTTGACTTGCAGTTTAGTTAGCATGTTGGTATGGATGAGTAAATCTGTGCTTTGCTTAGTAACTTAATTGTAGTACTGTATGAGAGAGTTCTCAGGAAGAAAAGTCTTATTTGCTATTTTTAAAAGAACTAACTTTTTTTGTCTTTCAGCAAAATATAAAGATCTGGAGAACCAGCATGAACTGGCTATTATAAAACTACGTGAGCAGATTCAGACTGAGTGTGACCAGTGCCTAGAAGACATGAAAAGGAAAAGCAGTGAAAGAGAACAGGAGATTCAGCAGCAGGTTAATAAACCTTTTATTTTTAATGTTTTATGTATATAAAGCACCCAGTGTATGGGGAACAGAAGTTATTCACTGGTGTGGGATAAAGTTTTTTTAACTTAAATTTGAGCAAAGGAAAATGCAGAGGGGTATATGCTTTGTTTGTATACCAAAATTAAGATGATAAAGTATAAGTAGATACAATTATATTGGTATTCATAATTTTCTAACTAATTTGAGTCAGCTTTTATGGCCTTTCCTACAGTTTGATTAAGTTTTTTCCTCAGTCTTTGTTTTTACTGATTCCTAATTTTTCTTCTTGAAAGAATGCTTTATTGCCTTCTTGCCAGTCCTGCAATAAGTGACACAAGGAGCAGATGGCTTGCTCTCTTGGTTCTGTTAAAGGGATGATCCTGGGTAGTTAGGTACTTCCCTCTGTGTCCACTAGCCTGTACTGTAAGCTAAAGTTCTGATCGGTACCAAAGTTCTCCCACCACGTAGCTTCTGGGCTGTTTGTAACATGTGCAAACACACAACAATTAAAACAAAACTTTTTTTCCCCCCACTAAACTTAATATGTCTTTCCTAGCTGGAGAAACTGCAGGCTACACACAAAGAACTAAAGGTTCAATCACAACAAGAAATCAAGCAGCTTTGGTCTCAACTGGATAGCACACGAGCAAGTCGACAGGAACTAAGTGGTAAGGTTACAATAAGTGTGAAACAATTTTTAACAATGTATTGAATGAGTAAGGACTCATAGGAGTGTTCAGCTGGACTTGCTATGATGGGTTGGACTGATAGTCAGATAGTTTCCAGTGGCCACATATGTAGCTCTTAAGATTTGGCTGTATATCATAGACAGGAAGTTTTCATTAGCTTGATTTTTGGGTCCCCTTTAAAATTTACAAATCGAAAGCCTCACAATCAAGAAGATTTTAGTACTTTTGAGGCCAAAGTAGTTTTTCTTCTAGTGTTGAAGTTAGCTGCATAGGTGGTTTCTTAGTGACACTCTAAAATTAATTTTAAAGTCACAGGTCTTCAGAAAGAGGTACCTGGAAAGGAAGAGGGGAAGTTTTACAGGCCTCTTGTTCTCCATTTTCTAAAGACCTTGTGTTCCCAAAGAGGGATCCTTTTGCCTGTCACCTCTTAATGGGGTCACTTTTCGCTTACAGTTTTATGACATTTGCAGAAGTGAGATTCTTCTTCTGCTGACCTTGTAAGAATTACAGGAATGTATAATTCATCTATTCTTCTTGGTCCTAAGTTCAGCTTTAACTAAAAAAATATCCCCAAAGCCTAAAACCTAAGCAAAACACTTTCAGTTTAAATTAAAGATGATAATGCTGATTTATGATTTGTTTTTAATATTGGCTTTCCTGGTTATGGCATGGTTTTTAAATTGAAATGGAATCCAAAACTCAACAAAAAAAAAAAGATGGTGAAAACATTAGCTCTTTACCGGCATATTGGCAACATGTAACATAAAGATGTAGCAGGAAATACTGTACAGTTTTAATTAGTTGTATGGAAAAACTCAATGCAGTAATCTTAAGTTTTGACTTTTTATTTAAGAGAAGAGAAAATGGAAGGAGGGATGGTGAAATAAATCATTTATGTGATCAACATCAAGTGCACAGTAAATATCTCTTTAATGAGCATAGTCTTAAAAGCAATATTTTATGCTAATTTAGAGGCTTATGGTACATCATCAAAGTCTCTGCACATCATTAATTTAACAAACTTCCTGTTAGGAGAGTGGTGCATTTTTTTTGGTTAAATGAAGTTGGGTATGGCCACATTTTTATATGCACAAACTCTTGCACGCATGATGCGAGAATGAAAAAAAACTTTAAAGACTGCTAATAATATGCAACTTTGTTGGGGCTATGTATCTGAGGCTATGGACCAGTATATACATTTAGAGAGGAGGAGGAGCTGCTGCTCAGCAGCGGTTATACTCTGTTACGTTGTCATGAGCCTCTAGCAGTAGAAGTGAGCTATATCTCCCTAACACTCACAGTGGCTGAAACAGGCTTAAGGTGGGAGCAGTTTTACTTCTATTGTTACAGAGTTATGTAGATGTAACCAGCGTTCCCTCTAAGACGCGCAGCTGCTTGGGCGTGCTCATGCTGTGCTGCCAGACGCGCCTGCGTGGCCATGCGTGCCACACAGCTTAGAGGAAATGCTGGGTGGAACAGTTACACTAACAGGTTATATTCATCTCTTGATCAATGGCTATTTGAGACTATTGTTAAACATTTGTTTATGCCTGGGAATGTCATTCACTTTTGTCCTCTTTGCTGGTATGGTTAAGGATATAACATTTTCTTTTTGTTTGGAAATCTTTTTTTTTTTTCTAGAACTCTATCTCCTCTCAAGCTAAATTGTCCTAACTTTTGTTAATCTCTCTTGTAATTTTCCATGCTTCTAATCTTTCGTGTTACCATTCTCTGGATCCTTTTCTATTTCTGCTTCTTTTGGTTTGAGATGATATGACCAAAACGCAACCTACTAGTCCAGGTGAGGACATGCAATGGGTATATAAAACAGAATTATTATTGTTCATTTTCTTAATAGAGCATTATATTTTAGTTGATCTTTTTCTTTATTCAGTCAGCCTGCTCTGTTTCTTCTCACAGTGCATGACAGGCTAGGCATCCTGAAACCTAATATACAATGTTTAGAATATGTCAACATTTGTATAGAAATCAAACTGTTTATAAACCCATTTTCCTGGTTATCTAACTTTAAGTCCTTTTGAAATTACTCATGTTCCCTTCCATCCTTGAATTATTTAAATTTGTTCCCTGCACCTCCACAAAAAAAAGTTGTCTTCCTTGTTGATATACACTACTTTTTCCAGTTATTTGGCCCTGGTACGGATCTATTTTACATCCAACTAATTTCCATACTTGTGGAAAAATGATAATTAATTTGTCCTTTGTTGTCATCATCTTTATTTCCCAATGAATCACGACCTCTATAAAGAGGATCTTAAAGATATTCTGGAAGAGGATTCCTGTGTTTTCAAGTCTAATGATTGTGTGACATACACTCTTCTTTTGACTTCCTAGAAGAGTGGTACCTTGTTTAAGAAGTTGTGCTGGTTTGCACCATCCTGTTAGTTCTCTAGGTCAAGGGTGTCAAATTCATTTGGCACCATACTTTGACTCTGGACTGCAGGGCTCCACAGGCCAGATGACCAACTTCTGGATCTGTTAGGGTTAGTGTAAACTTGGCCAATGCCTCGGCAAAGTAGGCTCAAGATAAGATACATTTTACTTGTAATTATCAGGGTTAAGTTTTTCAGGTAGTTTTGTGCTAAGATCTCTTGTTCTGGGTTAAATGCATTGTTACAGCAAGCACTTTGGATTAAATTATGTCTGTTGGGTGGTTGCACTAGCAGGTGAAAGGATTAACTGTCATGGCAACTCTGCATAATAATGTCTTTCCAGTGTTGTGGAGCACAAGGAAGAGAGTAGGACTGAGTTACCTTACTTATAGCGCTGAGTAGCTTCAAAAGTGTGGCATTTCTGAATATTGTGTAGATGGGGACATACCTATGTGATATTTTTTGGGGGAGGTGGAGGGGGTTGGGTTGTTTTTTTTTTTTTTTTCTCTCTCTGCTTTCCCACCTCCTGATTTGCGTGTTATTTAATTTGTAGCCAAGTCTACCCTGCTGCACTTTCCAAAAAATGTTGAGGTGGGATTATTGTCTCTCTGAAGGGAGAGTTGGAAAGATTTTTATTTCCAGTCCTACCTGGCTTTTCTTTTTGTGATTGAGCCCAGAGAGTGTATATTTTAAACATTAAAAGTGTGGTTTTATTTATCTTCTCTGAAACCCAGAGCTAAAAGAACAGCTCCTGGCTCGTACATCACATGTGGAAGAAATAGAACGCTTAAAGCATGAATTTGAACAGCACCAGCAGCAACAAAGAAGTGAACATGAAACTGAATTGGAACAACTGAGAATTTATTTTGAAAAGAAATTAAGGGCTGCTGAAGAGAATTACAGAGAAGAATTAACACTGCTGCATCAGAGACTGCAAGAAGTGAAAGAATATTCTTTGATGGAGTCAGAAACAAGCCAAGATCAACTTATAGATATCAGGTGATTTTTTTTTTTTTTATTATTATAATTTTTTTTTTTTTAATTCTTGGGTAGTGACAAAACAACCCAAAAAGAACCTTGTCTTGCTTAAAAGAATTTTAGCTTTTTAGTATGTGATTGGATGCTGTATGTTTGTAGGAATCCTAATGGTAATACAAGAGTATTCGACTAGATGCTGCTGTGTACATACCTAACCTCTGGCATGTTAAAACTCAATACATTAATCTGTTTCAAAGTTTTATAATGTATTTTATGTTAATTTTCTAAACATTTTTTGCCTCTCAGCTCCTCTATTACATCTTTAGAAGAAGCAACTGAAAAAGAGAGAAGAGATGTGTTTTGCCAGCTAAATCAGCAACTAGAGCAACACAAGGTAGCATCAATGCAACAAAAATCATACTGCTTATCATAAAATCTGCACACAAAATGACAGCTGGTTCTCACCACTCAGCACAGAGTTAAGAGCAGATATAGTAATGCTGCCATGTATTGCTAAAATTTTTGTTACTTTATGTAACATACTTAGGTAGCATTTTGTTTAAAATACTATATACACCCCAAAGAATCAAAGAAAAATGTATATTTTGTGATGTGTGATTCTTGCTTTTTGTGTCTTTATTCTTACTTGAAAACACCTGTTTTGAGGGTTACCATGAAGCCTGGGGAGTCTTTTCTGCTGCCTAGTTTTTGGCTGAGTGGTAAAAAGGGGTCCTGGCTCATGACATGGGTTCTTGGGGGCTATTACAAATGAAGCAAGCAGTATCCTTTCTCTGTGACGTGTGGATCCTGCCAAGAGTTTGTTTTTTTCAGGACTCTTGACAGGATCCATACTCGGGTATCTGGGCACTTCTTACTTCCCTACATTTTTTCTCAGCTCCTGAAGCTCTGCTCTGCCTTTTGGCATATTTCTCTAAGCCTTGGTACCCTGGGACCTTTCTATTCCCAAAGCGAGTATGGGAGTGGAAGCAAGAATGGCCTGGGGAGGCAAACTGGAAAATGGAGCTGTTAATTGTAATATGTTATGTGCACTGTTCCCGTCCAACTAATTTTTAGTATCTGAAGTATAAAGGTATCTTTCTGTTACAAATGTGTGTCTTGTACAGGAAGAACTTACTTGTTTGCGATTGCAGTTGGATGAACAACATACAAATGATCTACATTCTTTAAGATCTTCCCTCACACTGCAGTATAAGGAGGATCTGCTGAAAATGAAAATGGATCTCTCAGACAGATATATCTCAGAAATTGAGGAATTGAAGAAGAAGCACTGTTTAGATCTTGAACAGCTCCGTGCCAAGCTTTCAGAAGAGCATATCAAAGGTAATATTTCATGTCAGGCTCATGAGTAAAATGGAATGGTTCTTGGATAGCCAAAACCTTTTCTTCATTAGGCTATGAATCAGTGGTGCCCACCCTTTTTGCCCGGTGGGCCAGATTGCCAGCACCCAGTCTGTCTGTGGGCTGGATCCAGCTGGTGTTCTGATATGATGCCTGGGCGGGCACAGCAGGCACCATTTAGCTGCACAGAGGTGGGGGGCCAAGTTGGCTCCAACACAGGCCCGCAAGTAAAACAAGCTTGACTTGGGCCTTTGGAGAGAGACAAGAGTGTGCGGCTCAGCCCTGATGGGAGGAGAGTGGGTGTGATCTGGCCTAGCAGAGGAAGTGGGCATGGCCAAGCCCCAACGTAGCCCAGCTGGGAGGGAAGGGGACATGGTCTGTCCCTGATCCAGAAGCAGGGGTTGTGGTGCAGTTCCATGTGGGAAGGGAGCATAATGTGATTCCAAACAGCTGTCCAGAGAATGGGATTTGGGGGGATTTGTCAGGGGGGAAGGTGGCTGTATTAATGGCCACCACTCCCCCCTGACAAATTTTAGGACCCATGGGAGCCCCACATGCCAGGTGTGATGTGTCTGCAGGCTGCATTTGGCTGGCAGGCCAGAGGTTGAGCACCCCTGCTATAAATGATTATTTGAAGAAATATGAACATTTCAAGTGTCCTTGAAATTACAAAAGACATTTAACACTTTTTCATAATTGGTATTGACTGTGTGTTACGAGTTTTTTGAAGGTCTTGATTTGTGTTTTTATAAGTATTCCTTCTGTAGTGCCCTGAATGTGATATTCTAAAGTAAAATGAAAATACAGATGAGTGATTTGCTGTTAAAATTTCTCATGTAGTTAACTTGCTATATTCAGTGTTTGGATGGAGGTGTACTTTCAATTTTAAAATCACCCTTCCATCTCATTTCTAACCTAAATTCCTAAAATATTTAAGAATTTATGAATACCCAGTATAGCTAAATTAAATAGATTATGTGGGGTAAAATCCTATTCTCTTCAGTGTTGGTTGTTTTTTTGGATTTGATAGTGCTGTGTATACATTTGCATTGGGTTGATTTTCTCTCTGTATATTGAATTAGTGAGCCTAGTCATTTGTGTAATTTTTGCATAGCTACGGGGGAGAGAGAAAATTTTTTAAGTCAGGAAGATTATAAAACAATGAATATGGCAAGAGAGCTCAGCATAATGTAATACTTCCTGCAAAAATAAGTCCCTTCCTGCTTTGTTGCTGTTGTATAACTACATCCAATAGTGGAATTTTTCACTTGGTCACAGGCCACAGAGTGCTTCTCATTGGAAGGTTGTTTTTTTTTCCTTCTGGGACAGGCACGCTTCTTCCCTATTTAAATTGCATTGTACTAATTTACTAGAGAATATCTTTATATAAAGTTACATATTTCATGAAGATACCTCTCTGAGTAGTAACATAACAAGGGGTTGGTATTTATTTTCTGAAAGACAGTCATGTTCCACTCGGAGTATAGTTGGTTGAGTATTATCGACCAAGCTTTGTTTAACTGGCTGTTTTGTCAAGTTCATTAGACATATTGTTTTAAGGTTTTTGGGGATACATCTGCTATGAAAGAAAACTTCAGAAAATCTGTGTTTCACTGTCTAATAGAGAGAAGTTGGCTCATGGAGGAATAGGAAATATTTAGTTAAATAAGGGGCTGGTGGTTCCCACTAATATCAGTGGATAAAGTCCTAACATAAGCTTCACTGTTCTAAAATTTAAGATCCATTTCTTACTGTTATTTATATGCTAAGCGGTAATAAATTGCAGAGATGATGTATAGTAGACCAGTAATAGTTAATGACTTTTTTACGCTCAATTTTGGAGTGTTCCCTGTTAGCTTTACACATAGGACACCTTTATATGAATTGTTTTAATAAGGTACTGTCATCATTCAGCTTTTCTTATGAGGAATTACTGAGACTACTGCATGTACTGAAACTGAAAACTCTTCTTTTACTGTTTATCTAGAAATAACCAAGCTACGTTTGCAGAGTGCTCAAGATGCAGCACGACAGGTTGAAGCAGAGGTGGCTGAACGAGTATCTGTGCTGGAGAAAGAGCAAAACAATAAACTCTCACTCCTTCAGTCTGAGAAGCAGTACATTGAAGAACTACAGGAAGAAAGACAGCGTTTAAAGAAAGAGATTAGTGAACTAAAACACATTGGTATGCAGCATGAAATGCATCTGAAAGATGAGATGGAGAAGGTACAACATACAGCATTTAGTGTTATATTGTATAAAAAATTCTGCTAGGATGAGTAGTAGGAATAATGATTTACTAGTACACGTTCTTAGTCTGCAGACAGTCTTAGCTTTCGCTTTAATTATACATTGTATAACTAAAACATTGTGTTGTTTTCATAGTGAGGTAAAAATCTACAAATGTGTGGTGCTTGTGTAAGTGAAGTACAGGGCATTCCACTTACCTTTGTAATAGGTGGAATGCCCTGTACTTCACTTATACCTATCTTCAGGTAGGTGTAGGTGTTCTTCACCTACACCTACCTACCTGACATTCCACCTACCTTTCTAATATTTAAACGAAATCTTTTTTGCGAATTGAGCTTATTTCTTTTTAGAAGTGTAAGTGAAGAACAGGGCTTAATACTACGACGTCACCTAGGAGCTCACACCCTTGCTCTTCAGCTCTAAGTCATGGATCACACATTTGGAATTACATTACCACTTTTAGCTTTCAGGAAAAAATCTGATCTACAGAAACATTGGGAGGACCTGTTGAATATACTCTGAATTGGCATAATAAGTGTAAAGTATGAGAGGAGGAGAGCCAAGATGAGTTAAAACCTAAAATTCAGGCACCACACCAATTTGATATTGGAATTCTGCTTTGTTTATTTATTGGAAAGATTACTTTTGTAGAAAGGTAGGGCAGGAAGAAATTTATTCTTAAGAAATTATTTAGTCCATTCCTTGCATTGAGGTGTAGGACTTGACGTATCCAGACTGTCCCTGAGAAACATCTAACCTGTTCTTAAAATACCAATGACGGAGATTCTACAATCTCTCTAGAAAGCCTGATCCAATCCCTCACTGTCATTCTAGAGAAAAATGACATTCCATCTACCTTTCTAATATTTAAACTAAATCTTTTTTGCAAATTGATCTTATTTCTTTTTAGAACCATAGAATCATAGAAAATTTGGGTTGGAAGGGACCTCAGGAGGTCACCTAATGCAGTCCAACTCTCTGCTCCAAAGCAGGACCATCCCCAGCTATATCATTTTAGCCAGGGCTTTGTCCAGCTATGTGTTTTAAAAACCTCCAGGGATGGAGATTCCACAACCTGTCTGGGTAACCTTTTCCACTGCTTTACTACCCTCCTAGTGAGGGTTTTTTCCACCTAATAGTTAACTTAAACTTCCCTTGCTGCAACTTGAGGTCCTATTTCTTGTTGCCCAGGGAAAATATGGTCACTATCCTCTTTATAAAAAAGTTGTGTCCCTCTGCCCTTCCCCCAGCTTCTCTAGCTAGCTAGACCAGTGGTTCTAAGCCAGGGCCGGGCAATTATTTTGGGCGGAGGGCCGGTTACCCAGTTTTGGCAGACTGAGGGCCGCATGGGTAGCACCGCCCCTTGACAGGTGCCCTGCACTCTTGTCACCATCTTGGGACCCGTGTCCCAGGGCCAGCACCAGTAGGACCCGAAGCAGAGTGCAGGCTGGCAGGGGTCTGTGGAGCCCTTTGTTCCCACTGGCTCCCTGCCTACTCAAACCCGGTACCCCCCAGCCCCGTGGTACAGGCAGGGGGCAGTGCACAGCTCCAACCTCCTGCTTGCCAGCAGGGAAGAAGCTGGTGCTGAGTGCGGGGAAAAGCGGCCCCTAACCTGCCCCATGGCTGCTGCTCTCTGCTGCAGGTGCTTGCAGCCCATGCGGAGCTGTCTGGAGTAGGCACAGGCAGCCCCGGGCAGGCCCTGCTGTCATTTTTGACAGGACCAAGGGCAGAGAAATATTAATTTTCAACATTTTTTAGGGGCCCCATGGGCCGGATAGAATGGCCTTGCAGGCTGGATCTGGCCCCTGGGCCGTATTGCCCACTCCTGTTCTAAGCCTTTTTAGACTCAAAGCCCCTTCCCATAGCTTTTTGGAATTTAGTGTCACTCCATCTGAACACTAATTAATTTCCTACAGTGCTTACCTTCTTTCACTCTGTCATACGCTTAAAAGGTTCTCATGGGGTGGCATGGTGGGTAGGGTACCCATGAGAACATAGCAGAGGTGGTGGTGCATGGTGCTAAATGCTGCTAGGGGCTGCTTGCCTGGGCAAATTGGGGAGCTTGGGGGCAGGTCATTAAACCCCTGCAGGAGGTATAAAGAGGGTGACAGTGGTTGTTGATGCAGAGGCTAGTGCCAGCTGATGGTGGCAGAACACTGCTGTGTGCCGCTCTTTCTTCCACACTGAAGGGGTAAGCACAGCCTCTGCCATTGCAGCTTCTTGTCCTGGATCCAAATGCCAGTGCCCTGAGCTACCATTCCCTATGGTCCCTCCCACCAGCTCTGGGATTATGGGAAGAGTGGGGTAATGAGCTGGGATGAAAAAGTGTAGCTCCTTGTCCACCTATTCACCCATGGCAGACCACACAGTTTGGGGGACAGAAGCAGTTGGCACAGGGGCTGTTGGGAGGGTTAAATTAACATGTTTGAACTCTGTGTTCCCCTGCTCTTCTCTGGCTTCTGGAGCTGGTAGGAGTGCTACCATACACTTGGGCTGGTGTAGGGTGCCTAGTGTGTGGAGGAGGTAGTGCTTACCTCCTCTATCAGGAACCAGGCACTGTGTCACCATTCTAAGGAGCTTGCAGCACCCTGGTGTCCCTGAGCTAGACAAACTCTATTTCTTCAGCTTTTTTCCTAAGCCATGTTTTCTAAATGTTTTATCATTATTGTTACTCTTCTCTGGATTCTTTCTAGTTTGTCTCTATCTTTTTGAAAGTGTGGTGCCTAAAACTATTGACAGTATTCCAGCTAAGGCCTCATTAAGCAGAGCAGGATAATTACTAGGGCTGTGAGAAATTTCAGCAGGTGTTTTGTTTCAGAGGTGTTTTGGCGCCTGAAACACCGAATCTGGAATGACACGGAAGGCTCTAAAACATCTACAAAACGAAACAAAACCATTTGAAACATTTCAGAAATGTTTTGGAGGTGCCCCCCAGGAGGCTGGGGCTGGGTGGGGGCTGGGTTGGGCAGGGCAGCAATGGGGGCTTCTCCCGTGGCTCCCCCCACCAGGGCAGAGGCAGGCACAGCTCAGAAGCCTCAGGAGAACCTGCAGCCACCTGGCTGTGCCTACCTCTTCCCAGCAGATCCGAATCTCCAAATCAGCTCTGAAACAGCATCGAAACTCCAAAACAGATTTAGTCAAATTGAAACGGAACAGTGATCTGAAATGAATCGCTGTCTTCCGAAATGGCCAAACCCAAAAAAAAAAACGTAGCTGTTTCACACAGCCCTACCCTCCCATTCTTTGCATATGACACTCTTGTTACATCCCAGAGAGAAAATAGCCTTTTTTATAACGATATTTTGATTTGTATGATATAGGACCCCTAGATCTTTGTCTGCAGTGTTGCTGCCTGTCAAGTTGTTGTTCCTCATTTTATTTATTTATTAAATTTATATCCTGCCCTACCCTTTGTACTTTCAATTTTTCCTGCCTAAGTGTAATACTTCGCACATACATTTATTGAATTTAATCATCTTGATCTTAGAGTATTTCTCCAGTGTATTAAGATGATTTTGAATTCCAATCCTGTGTTGCAAAGTTCTGGCAGTCTTTCCTAGCTTGGTGTCCTTTGTATAGTTCATGAAATGTACAATGTTGGTCTCCATTAAACTGCATAGACTCTGAACTGAAAATGTTGATGCACTTTCTGGAACTCAGTTTAAAAAATGCTCATTAACCACAGGAACAGCCTCCACTAAGCTTTTTGCACTTCATTATGGCTGATTACTTAGTTTCTTAGATTACTGTATTCTTCTAACAGCAGTCTTGAAATGAATGGGATCTAGTATGTTTAAGGCCACTTTAGAAGCCATTTTTCCATTTAACAGCAAAATTGGTGATACAATTAAGTTACAAAGGGCCTGGACAAATGTAGGTTTCAGCCTCCATAAAAGGGGAGGAGTAGCTGCTGCCTAGGACCATGCAGTGCTGTTAAGCTGTAACATCTGCTTAAATTTGTAGCAGTATATGTGAGCTAAATCACCCTGATTTTGAACCTAGATGAAACAAAATGAAAGTTAGAGTGGCTTTCCACACTTGTCACTACAGAATGATGATGGTGTTACAGTTGCATAGTAAAAGCCTGTACAGGTATCATTTTGAGAGAGATATTTATTTTAGGTATATTACAACTGAGTTGAAGAGTTATTGTGCTTAAGTAGTTTAAACAGGTAACCCATATGTAAATAATCAGTATTCATTACATTGTAAGCAGTAAACAATGTAAGCAATAAACAAAAACTCGGCACCACTGTCTTGTTATGCAGTTATGCAAAATAAGTACTAACCTGATATACATATAAAAGGAGTACAGTACTTCCCACCCTCCCATAACATGATTTAATGTACACTATGTTTCTGTAGTTCTTGATTTCCAATATTTGTTTGATAGCAAGATTTTATTTAGAATATTGCTTTATCATTTTTGTAATGTAATTTTCATAGGTGAAATGTAAACTTTTGGAGGATCATAATAATGAATTAAAAAAAGCTAAAGAGGAGATCCAGAAAATGGAGAAGATGCACAAAGAAAAGGAGGAAGAATGGAAGTGTGGAAGTGAGCTGCTGCAGGTAAAAACAGAAGAGAAGTTGTCATTGATGTGTAGAGAGCTTGAAGACAAAGCAGAATGTGAGAGGCTTGCTTTACAAAAGGAGTTTGAACTTCGTGAAGCTGAAATGAACCTCCTTCGAGATCAGCAGGCTGCTAGAATTGTAGAACTGGAGAAGTCCCTAAAGGAGCAACAGAACAGTTTGCGGCAGCTAGAGGACAGTCTTGCAAATGTACAGGCTACTCATAAATCTCAGGCGGAGTATGACAGCGAACTGCAAGCTGCTAAGGCACTCATGGCAAAAGAGCTGGAAAAAGCCACTTTGGATCTTCAAGAGAAATGTGCAGCTAAACTTACTGAAGCACAGAACAAGTAAGCAACTTTAATTTTGTAGGTTTTTCTTTCACTTGTTTAACCAGCAGTCCTTTTTCAGGACATAAGAAATGAGTGTATAATTTTGCAGCTGCATGGCACAAACAGATCTTTAAATATATTAATGTGCTTGAGTCTACCAAGGAGCAGTAGTACTATCTATGAAGTCCCACTGCTAGAAGTCTCTTCATATAAATATATTGTCAAACCCAGCCTTCATATAAAAAACAATCATCATCCTATTACTTTTAGGCATAAATGGGTTCTTTAGTTTTTTATTTGTATATTTTTTGGAAACATCTAGCTATTCCTTCCACAGATTCTTTCTGTTCAGTTCAGATGGGGAAGCCACCTTTTAGTGACCCTAACTTTTGTTTTGTGCAAGATGACAAAGTGTATACGTTGTTGCCTTAATGTGTCTCCACTGCTCTTGCCAGCAATAGAGTGAATTTGTTTGGGTCCATGTTATTTCAGGAGCAGGGTTCAGAGGTTTCTAGTAGCACTTGCAGTAGCGTGTCATATTTCAAAATGTGAAGCGGACTATAAATAGGCATGAAAATACAATTATATAAGTGGAATATAAATAGTTACTGGACTTAACTAGACCTCTGGCTTGATCCAGATTAACAGGTCATAGTTTCTTAAATATTAATGCATTAACAGTGTTGACTTCCATATACTTTTTTATGCACCCTTGTGTTTTCTTCTATGGACACTTCCTCAGTCTCTGCCGTTGGCTATTAAATACTTGGATTTTTTAATCTTTGGTGATTAATGTAACATGGGCATTTGTCTACTAAGGTTGTGACTACATGAATGAGTTTTCTTCTTTTGTTTCTGAAGATAGGAAACTTAAATCAAGAGTCTTGAAGATAAGGGCCTCAGGGAAAATACCAACAAATAGCTTTTCCTGCACTGGAACTAGGGTAAAATTTCCTGGGTTAGGGCAGATGTTTATCAGATTAAGGGGTAAAGTCATATGTTAACAACTTTATTTTTTCTGAATTGAGTATTTCTTGGGATTGTGTGTTCATACGTCTGTGACCTAAATAAGCTGACTCCTTCAGCTCACATTTCACTTCACATAAACCACTGCTTTGTTCTAAAATAGTATTCTGTATTATTTTGGACCAGTGCAGAATTTTGAAATTCTATATATATCAAAACCTTAGTCTGTCCATCTGTAGCAATTCATTCGCATTCTGAGTGGCTGTCTGGCAGCCGGAGTGCTTCAGGAGCGTTCCAGACAGGGGGTGGTGGAGCGCCACCATGACAGTGGGGATGGGGGTTGGGGGGGGGCCACCTAGCCCCCCACTCCCTTGCCCTGTTCTGTGGAGGAGGCAGCAGCGCGAGCGGGGCAGCGAATAGGAACAGGGGTTGGGGCTGCCGTGGGGTAGGGGGGAGCAGTCCTAGACTCCCAAATTGTGGGGGGCGGGACTGGACAAGGAGAGCAGGGCCAGACACTGGGCTCCATCCCTGGTGGCCTTCCATGGGAGGGGGAGCAGGCCTAGCCCCAAAGTGGCAAGGGGTGGGGGGCTGGATGTGGGCCTATGTTTCTGCCTGGCCAGCACTGCTGGCCTTGGTGCCCCCCCCTGCTGGCCATGACCCCTCCTCCCACTCCCTGCAGGCTGAAAATACAGAGTGGGGGGCCTGCCTGGTCCTGGTCCTGGTCCTGGTCCTGGTCCTGGTCCTGAAGTGGCAGTGGGGAGGGGGAGCAGGCCCAGTCTTTGGGGGAAGGGGTTGGGCCAGACACAGGCCTCCGTCCCTGGCCGTCCCGCCCTCCCACCCATCATTCTTG